CTAGAATAAATATATGAATGCAAATGCCCCAAATAGTTTCACTGACTTCAAACTTTCACTCAATAAATATCAGGTGTTGTTGTTGTTAGGTGCCATCAAGTCAGTACTGACTCACAGCGACCCTATGCACAACAGAACGAAACTTCACTGCCTGATCCTGGGGCAACCTCACAATTGTTGCCACATTTGAGCCAGCTGATGCTGCCACTTTGCCAATCCATCTCGCTGGGGATCTTCCTCTCCTTCTCTAATCCTCCACCTTATCAAACATGATATCCTTCTCCAAATAATGGTCCCTCCTGACAATAAGTCGAAAGTATGAGAGACGAAGTTTGGCCATATTGGCCTCCAAGGAGCACTCTGGCTGCACTTCTCCCAACACAGATGTATTGGTTCTTTTGGCAGCCCATGGTACTTTCAATATTCTCCTCCAACAGCATAACTTAAAAGCATCAATTCTTCTACAGTCTTCCTTATTCACTGTCCAGCTTTTGCATGATATGAGGTTATTGAAAATACCATGACTTGGGCCAGGTGCACCTTAGTCCTCAAGCTGACATCTAAATGACCAGAACTTGCAAATGAGCAAAATATGGATTAAAATGTGGGATATGTCTGTATCTTCACTAATTCCCTCTTTACTGACTTCTGTGTGCCTGTCAGCACTATTAGGCAGAAGCTGCAGTGATGGAGTCTGCCTTGTGGGGAAACCAACGTCCTAGAAAGACCGTTTTTTTTTAAAAAAAAAAAGAGAGAGAGAGAGAGAAAGAGGAAAAACTCTGGGTAACAATGGTGGTTATGTGCCATGGAGTCGGTTCCAACTCACAACGACCCTGTACAGGGTTTCCGAGGCTGTAAATCTTTACAGGAGTAGAAAGCCTCATCTTTCTTCCATGGAACAGTTGGTAATTTCGAACTGCTGAACGTGAGGCTAGCAACCCAATTCGTAACCACTATGCTACCAGAATTTACCAAAAAGTAGTAAGGTAAATTCTGGGTAACAGTAGTAAGGCAATAAACTAGGGATTCAAGTGGTAAAGCTGTGGGTGGGAATGGGACATGGTAGAGGTGGCCTCTCTAAGAGGTGAATTTTAAGCTATGATTTGAAGGATAGTTCAGAATACTTCGCCAAGGTCACCAAACTGGCAGACTTGCTCCTATTGGAAAACAAACTACAAAAGGCATCTGAACTGTTCAGGCTCTTTGCAAACCTGCACCAGGGACAGCAACCAGCCAGAGTGAGGTGGGCACATGGAAGGTTACACAATCAATATAATCAACAATGACCGGCACTTGGGATGGTCAAGAGAAATTTATCCTGTTGATTCATACTTCCTGACAGTCACTGACTGACAAGATTCAGAGTGTTTTCAATGCATTTCATGAGTAAATGATTCCTCCGGTCCTTGGGAAGATGGATGTTTAAAATGATTTAACACCCTCCTTTATACTTTCAGTTTATAGCTTATTTAACCAGTGCCATGTAAGAGCACTTTAGAACACCATGCTTGTAACATTTATATTTCTGTAGGGGAATCACTGACTGTAGCTAGCAACATGCATCTACATAGACTAAGAAAATCTCTGGGATTCTCCTAACATCCTTATTTTAAGAATCCACACTGTTAAGCAATTGCTATTTCTGTTGTATGCCTTCCAGTTGATCCCACATCTACAGGACAGAGCAGAATGACCCCATAGTTTCTAAGCCTGCCAATCTTTACAGATGTAGACTGCCATTTCTCTCTCTCTGAGGAGCAGCTGGTAGGTTTAAATCACCAAGCTTTAATCACTGAGACACCCGGGCTCCTTTACCTGAGGCAGCAGATCCCAATCATAGGAATTACCTGGAAGGCTTTAAAATATACTAACACTTGGGTCCCACCTTCACACGTTTTGAGATCAAAACGTATGGGTGCATCCTGTGCCTCTAAATTAAAAACAAAACAAAATAAAAAACACCCTGTGTGATTCTAAGGTACAGCAACATTTGGGAACACTTCTGGTGTGGCGCTGTAGGACAAGCATAGGACTACAAGGTCAGTTTGAACCACAAGGTTGATGGTTCAAACTTAACAGTGATTAAAGAAGTCCTATACCTCGGACGAAGAAGGGATGGGAGCGAAGAGAAAATAAACAGAGCAGCGAAAACTGAAGAAAAAGGATAAAAACAACCAGCCGCGCCGCGGGAGAAAGATGAGGCTTTCTGCTCCTGTAAAGATTTACAGCCACAGAAACCCTGTACAGGGTCGCTATGGGTCGGAACTGACTCGACAGCACTTAACAACAACAACGCATACCTCGGACGAGATGGATTGGCCAAGTGGCAACATCGATGGACTCAAGCGTGGCAACAGCAGTGAGGTTGGCCCTGGATTGGGCAGTGTTTCGTTCTGCTGTGTTTTATAAGGTCACTATGGGTCGGTACCGACTTGATGGCACCTAACAACAAACAGCAACATACCTCGGAAGCCCTATACAGGGTCGCTATGGGTCAGAACCGACAACATACTGGGTTGCTATGAGTCAGAACTGATCTGACAGCACTTAACAACAACAATGCAAGAAAAAACATTGCTTAGGATGCTTTATTGATTCCTTCAGAAAGTGTTTCCATTCTAACATCAGGATCTGCTATACCAGTGGGGTTCTTGACCAGAATCACATTAGAGAAGTATAAGGCACTTAAAGGAGTCCTGGTGTGGTGCTGTGGGTTAACATGCCAGACCGCAAAGCCGTGTGAACTGCAATGTTGGTGGTTCAAGCTCACCAACTGCTCCTCGGAAAGCCTATACAGGGTCGCTATGGGTCGGAACCGACTCGACGGCACTCAACAACAAGGTACTTAAAAGAAGCGCTGGTGGCAGTGATTTTAGAACTAACCAATAAGTCAGCAGTTTGAATCCATCAGCTTCTCAGTTCCAAGGAAGAAAGATGTGGCAGTCTGCTTTTACAAGGATCTATAAACTGTGAAAGTCTATGGGATCATTCTCCTCTGTCCTAGAGGGTCAACTGTGAGTTGAAATTGATTTGACAGCACTGGGATTCTGATGTAACTGTTCTGGGGTACAGCTGCATCATTCCTTATTTTTGTATGTGACCCTAGTGATTCTACAGGGCAGACACGTTGAGATCCACAGTCAAAGGCAACAGTTTTCCCCATTCCCCATGAAGGAGCCAGGCGGGTCAGTCCCATCACTATGTCCAGGTTGGAGCTACCCCCAAAAGGCACAAGACATGTCCCAAGCCTGTCAGGACACCTGAGGGAGGTGGTAGTAAGGGATAGAGTAAGGGATAGAACTCATTAAGGCAGAGGAAGCAGAAAAGTTAGAACCATAAACAGCACCCGTCCTCTGCCCCCTGTAAACTTCAAATGGCTTGAGAATTTGTGCCTGTTTCATGAAAGTGGCTCAGCTCTGGCTTTGGTTCCAATCAATTGTGAAAATTCGTATCCAATCAGAACTTCTGGCAGTGCAAGTAGCAAGATTGGCAGGTCCTTGGACCTCCACTCCCTGTGAAATTCTGGTTCATGAATTTCCCAGGAGGATTTCTGTAACCACTTGGGTGCCAACCTTCCTGCCTTAACACATTCACTCTCCAGCCTCCCCTCCAAAGCTCAGTGTAGTTGAGAATCATCTCACAGGTATACTTGTGATGCTATCACTGAGACAGTGTAGTTCAGAATCATCCAAGTAAATGATCCCCTAAATGACCAGTAGATTGAAAACATGTGTGCTGGTTTAACAAGTGTCTGCTAACCCACTCCGGGACCTGGGCAGAGCTTTGTGTCTCACCCAGGAAGGTAAGCCCACAAAGACCCACCCTGCAACCACCCTACAATGCTGCCTCACCCTACTGGGACACAGCTGTCATATTCCCATATCCCACAGAAAGCGTCCTGAGCTGACATCACTGTGTCTACACTCAGCTGAGCCCCTTTATGAATGAGCAGCAGCACAAATTAAGAGGCATTAAATGAGAAAAAGGGGGGTGGGGGAGAAGACGTCCCTATCCCGTTCTCTTTACAAATGAGAAAGTTGAGGGGGAAAAAAGCGAAGTGACTGGGTGCTAGTTCACCACAGACCATTTGTGGCGGAGCCGGATTTAGCCGCCCTTGAATTTCCATTCTGTTGCTTGGCAACCGGTTCAGACAAGCTCAGTGTCCAGCAGCGGCCCCTAACCCGCACCCTTTCTCTGTCCAAGCAACGTGCGTGGCACTGATCAGCTTTCCAGTTTTTAGGGACTGGCCAGAGGTATATAAAGTAGGCAATCGATAAATTACCCTAATTCAGCTCCAAATCAGGCTCCCACCACGCACGAGCACTGCCCGGCACTGGTGTGTCCTCAGAGGTCCTTCAGGGATCTTCCTCGTCAG